TATATATATATATATATATATATATATATATATATATATATATATATATATATATATATATATATATATATATATATATATATATAATAGTACATATACCAAGAAAGAAATGAATAAATAAATAAAATAAAACTTTTTGGCATTGAGAAAATAAATAAAGAGAGAGGGCGTTGAAAACATAGCTTAGAAGTCCACCCTTGTTTGTCTGGATCCATGAAAAAAGCTGACCTCGTTCATCCCACAACGTTAGACAAGCGCACAACAACAACTCACACCTTCCTTTCTACGATGACACTTTTAATTTAAAAAAATTACCAAGTTCATCGATTTTGATAATCTTCTCGTATCTGATAGCATACCTATCGGTTGCTCTAATAAAGTTGGACATTCATGTTTGGTTTGTTTATAGAGTAAGGTATCATCGTGAGCACACATGAACCCTAGCTCGGTTAGCTTTAATCTTCTCGTAGTTGATGGCATACCTATCGTTTGCTCTAACAAAGTTGGTCATTCATGTTTGGTTTATTTATAAAGTAAGGTATCATTGTGAGCACACATAAACCCTCACTCGATTAGCTTACAGTGTCGTTCGTGTCTCAGACTAACCCATAATAAATAATTTGGAAAATATAACATTTTATAAATAAAGATCGAAATTTATAAAATAGCATCAGGGCTCACGAGAATTACTCTAACTGGTGTCATTTTATGAATAAGAATCGAAGTTTGAGATTATTGTTGCGACGTTGATTTTTGTGTAATAACTTAAACCCACACTTAGGAGATATTGTCTGTTTTGACCTGTTATGTATCGTCGTTAATCTCAAGATTTTAAAACGTGTCTATTACGGAGAGATTTTCACACTCTTATAAGAAATGCTTCGTTCCCATCTCCAACTGATATGAGATCTTACAATCCACCTCCTTAGAGAGGAGCCCAGCATCCTCGTTGACATATCGTCAGTGACTAACTATGATATCTTTTGTAATAACCCAAGTCCACCGCTAGCAAGTATTGTCCATTTTGACTCGTTACGTATCATCGTCAGTCTCACAGTTTAAAACACGTCTACTAGGGAGAGATTTTCATACCCTTATAAGAACTGTATCGTTCCGTTCTCCAATCGATATATGATCTCACACCTCAACCTTTTGAATAACGACAATTGCAAACAAATTCAAAAGGAACTCGTAGTATAGACATGCACGTTCAACAATCGAGTTCGATCCAATATATATATTCAAAGAAAACGAGTTCGACACATGGGTTTGCACCAAAATTGATGCCAATACACACCTAACAAAAGATTGAGGTTTTCGAAACTTCCTAGAATGAATTGAATGAACATGTTTTTGGGATTTCAAAGCATGAAAAACAGAGGGATGTTGGAGACAAGCAGTCCCATAGATTTGACTCAATCCCACTTTACTCACTCTTTTCTATAAATATCTCCCTTTTGTCTCCTTCAACAACTCCTCTCCACTAAACAAAACCCTAAAAAACCCCTAAATTTAACCCTAAAAACCCCATTTTTGTGCCACCATTTTCACTTGTGCTCAAACAATCAAAGATGGGTTTTGTTAGGTTTGCTTGCTTTTTGCTGGTTGTTCTTCCAATTACATCACTTTCCATCATGAAGTTTCATCGAGGTCTCTATCCTTCATTCATTTCCTTACGTAAATTTAGAAGCGGGTTTTCTTCCATTTAGTCGAGATTGAACTCGAATCAATTGAATTATGTTTGTAGCTCACGTTTGAATCGATTTGATAATATAATGCTAGTTTTGTTGCACTTTATAGCCTTACATAGACTAGTAGACTGTTAACGGGTTTTCTTGTAGGGTTAGGATTACCTGTTTTCACTCCTTGAAAACGAAATTTGACTTTGTCTAAGAGCTCTATATCTTCTAATGAATGCCCATGTTTTCTTTCTTTTCGTTTTAGGTTGAGAATACAAAGATGTACCTCAAACTCGAGATAGTTTTATTAAGTAAATCAATATAAACCCTTTTTATCGTAGGGTTAGGTTACCTGTTTTCACTTCTCGAAGACGAAATCTAACTTTGTTTACGAGCTCTACATCTTCTAATGAACACCCATGTTTTCTTTCTTTTCGGTTTAGGTTTAGAATACAAAGATGTACCTCAAACTCGAGATAGTTTTATTAAGTAAATCAATATAAACCCTTTTTATCGTAGGGTTAGGTTACCTGTTTTCACTTCTCGAAGACGAAATCTAACTTTGTTTACGAGCTCTACATCTTCTAATGAACACCCATGTTTTCTTTCTTTTCGGTTTAGGTTTAGAATACAAAGATGTACCTCAAACTCGAGATAGTTTTATTAAGTAAATCAATATAAACCCTTTTTATAGAATACAAAGATGTACCTCAAACTCGAGATAGTTTTATTAAGTAAATCAATATAAACCCTTTTTATCGTAGGGTTAGGTTACCTGTAAACTCGAGATAGTTTTATTAAGTAAATCAATATAAACCCTTTTTATCGTAGGGTTAGGTTACCTGTTTTCACTTCTCGAAGACGAAATCTAACTTTGTTTACGAGCTCTACATCTTCTAATGAACATCCATGTTTTCTTTCTTTTCGGTTTAGGTTTAGAATACAAAGATGTACCTCAAACTCGAGATAGTTTTATTAAGTAAATCAATATAAATCCTTCATCGTAGGGGTTAGGTAACCTGTTTTCACTTCTCGAAGACAAAATCTAACTTTGTTTAAGAGCTCTACATCTTCTAATGAATACCCATGTTTTCTTTCTTTTCGGTTTAAGTTTAGAATACAAAGATGTAGCTCAAACTCAAGATAGTTTTGCTAAGTAAATCAATATAAATCCTTCATCGTAGGGTTAGGTAACCTGTTTTCACTTCTCGAAGACAAAATCTAACTTTGTTTAAGAGCTCTACATCTTCTAATGAATACCCATGTCTTCTTTCTTTTCGTTCTAGGTTTAGAATACAAAGACGTAGCTCAAGCCCGAGATAGTTTTGCTTCACATGAAAAGGTACGTGAATATCTACCCTAATTTGACTCGAGGATTCATGTATATCAATAATCTCGCTCGCTTTTTGTTTAGGAACTTTTGAGCAACAACATTGGAGGAAGAAGAAGATTGGAAGTGCAAGAAGGTATGCCATTGGAAAGTAGCAAGAGCTCAAAAATGGCTGTTCCAAGTTCTTTCAATGGTGAAAATGGCAAGAAGAAGAAGAAGAAATCGGGGAATGGTTCTTCATTAGTTTATGAAAATGCTGATTATTTGACTCATATGCATCACCCACCAAAACATAATTGATGGGAACTTGATGGCTTAGCTTAATGGAGTTTTGTTTTTATGTTATATATATATATATATATATGAAACATATATCCAATTTTCCTTTACTTTTTGTCTAATATTTATGAGTTTTTATATATTTTGTAATATTAAAAAAACGCTCGATCGTGGATCTCTATTGCTCGATGTGAGATTCTACCTTATAAGGGTGTGGAAACCTCCTTGGTAGACATGTTTTAAAACTGTGAGGCTGACGGAAATACGTAACGAGCCAAAGTGGGCAATATCTGTTAGTGATGGTCTTAGACTATTACACTCGGTGCATGAAATGCCGGTCTTGAAAGTCCTTTGTTATGAGATTTCTCATTTATTTTCATCCCGAGTTTATAACGGAAGATATAATTTATTGTGACAAATACTTATAATAAGCAATTTTTCTGTTGCATACGTAAATTTATACATACGTAGAGGTTAATTTTTTATTGATATATTCAAGGTCAACTATGTAGACTTTTTAAATTTTTTAAGAAAAAAAAGTATTTTGACCAAAATACCCCTATGTTATTTTTTCAATATCACTTATTTAACATAAAATAAGTTACCTTACCGCTTTCTATTCTCGTTCTACTCACAAATCATGTCAACTTTAGTTCAAAACGGGTTCGATCAATCTTCCACCACTTTTTATTCATGTTCTACTCACAAATCATGTCAACTTCAGCTCAAAATGGGTTCGATTAACCTTCCACATTTCTATTCTCGTTCTACTCATAACTCATGTCAACTTTAGCTCAAAACAGGTTCGGTTCGATTAATCTTCCACAACTTCCTATTTTCGTTCTACTCACAAATCATGTCAACTTCAGCTCAAAACAGGTTTGATTAAATCTTCTACAATTTCCTTTTCTCGTTCTACTCACAAACCATGTCAACTTTAGCTGAAAATAGGTTCGATTAATCTTCCACAGCTTTCTCGATCGAAATCTCGTGATCACGTACATTTCTTCCAATCAAATTATCAATGAATTTTGTTAACCTAAGAAATATCTAATACAACTTGACTAAGAACAACAAAAATAATTCGAGCTGTTTGAGAGCTTAGTTTCTGGTTACATTATTAACAGATAACCATTAATTCACTAGAAATCTGTCACTCTCCTCCAACTTATCCCTTCTTTTTGTCTCACTGTCTTCTCTCTCTTGTTCTTATTCCTCAAGTTGTATCAAATAACAAACAGCAAAATAATGGCTATGAAATGTTTACACAAAGTCAGTGGATGATGCACTCCAATCATTCCCAACCACCATTTTGGCTGCTCTCCTTAACCATTGTCCTTCCTGATATGGAATCTTTAATCAAGATTTTGTTGGATTTAGCCACATCCGGTTGCCGCTAATAAATATTATCTTCTTTAGATTTTTCATTTCGAGCTTCTCATCAAGGTTTTTTAAAACACGTCTGTTAGGAATAAGTTTTCACATTCTTATAAAGAATGTTTCGTTCTTCTCTCCAACTGACATGGGATCTCACAACAAGTGTCAATTACAAATAGTCGGAGTGAGAAAGAGATTGAAAATTTCACATATTTTCAATCAATCTAAAGCTAGACCAAGAACATATATATAACAAGGTGATAGCAGCTAGAAGAACGAAGTAATTTTCAAGAAAGATAAGAAAAGAGAATACTAAAACCAAATCTACAAGTTGATGCTACAATATTTACAATAGAATCTAAGTACTGACCCTTTTTTAAATGCAATCTCTGGGAGAGAAATCAGAAAATCCTTGCTCCATCAAAGCCATCGAACTCTGTCATGACAACAAGTTGGTTGCTCAATATCAAAATTGGCAAGAAGTGCCGAGCCTTTGCCTCTGCCATTGACCAAGAGTGGCGGATTTTCGCTTAGCAAATGCCGGGGGAAGTAGCTCTTGAAACTTCTCTAAAAACAATGACCAAACTTCCTCATTCATGTCTGCTAGCTTCACAAAAGTTACACTGGCTGGAATCTGTTCATTTGCACTCCTGCGCCCAGAGGATGATGCATTGGTCACTATGTATCCGTTCCCAGGTCTTGTTCCAAAGTACTTCGCATGTTTCTTATTCTTCTCACCTAGATTGGTATTCTTCAGTGACATTGAAAGCTTTGAAATAGTTGGAATCCTTTTGGAAGTAAACAAATCGAGGTAGCCCCCTCGCTCGTCTTCCTCACCGTTTTCTTCCTCGATCCCGAAAGGAAATGGCGTTGTAGGGAAAAAATCATCGGATTCTACCTCTTGGGTAAAGCCTGACTCCATTTCATCGCAGTCTATATCAAACTGAAATCCCTCATCCCTTAAATCATCAGCCTGGGGAGATAAGACCTCCCTTTCATCGATCAGCTGCCTAGCCTTGATGCATATGAGTTCCAGTTCACTGGGATCCTCCTCTCCGCTGTGAAACTCTCTAGTCATCATCTCGCCAATTTCAGCAAGACAGAGACCAAATGCAGCAGCTTCCTTGAGGAAGATAGTGCAGAGAATCAGAACTCTAAGACAACCCTCACGGATCATGGGAAGCTCCATCCTGAGCATTTCACTATCTTTAAATGGATTGAGATCTTTGATATACTTGAGCTCATCTTCTGAGAAAGGAATTGAAGCCTGTGGCCAATGAATCCACTCGAAATATGGATCCTCTAATGTTTCAGGCAGGCAGAGTCCATGATCAATTGGAATAAGTTCCACTTGACCAAACATCCCAACACCATCAAGTTTCCTAACTAAAAGATTTCCACCATGCCTATCTGTGTTAAAAACTCTAATGTCTAGAATGCCTATACGATGAACACCCACGACTGGGAAGCTGGAAGTCCCGTAATCACTGGCATCAAAGTCATGTGGTATGAATTCTTGGAACGATGCAATCTTGCTAACCAACTTGTTCTTGCTTGACTTGTTACCATTTACTCCATCATTGACATTGAAGATCGAGTGCGTAATCTTCACCAGGGCAGTGGCAGGCACATTAGCAAAGTGATTATAGTCGAGAAGATAAGCTGCAACCTCGCGAAATCCAGTCTCTCCAACACGCACTGATCGTTTTAAACCAGGTTCACCTAACGCTTTACCAACATACCCTTTTGGATTGTTTGGTGCAAAAGGTTCTTCATCAGTAGGCTTCACAATCGCAACGCTCTCACCTCTGTTATTTCTGAAATAGTATGCACCACCAAGTCCACTATGAACAGGAAGAGGATCTACACCAATTTTAGTAGCTTTTATAATCTCGCAAACCAGTTGTTTTATCCTAACAAAGCAATCAGAATGCCCCAATATCTCAATAGGGCCACTCTGATCTCTTTGCTGGATATCTCTTCCAGTAGGCGAGAGACATGGAGTTGACGAGCTTCTGTGCAAAATGTTTCGAGTAAGAAGAAGTGGGGAATCATTTCGTACGCCACTGAGGTCGTTCTTGAGCACCGTATCACCAAATGTCAAAGAGCTCTCATCAGTGGGTACATTGAGCGCAAGCTGCAACCTCCTCTTCACAGTATGAGCATTATCACTCCAATCTAATTCCATCCCCAGGACACAACCAGTGTCGGTTTGCACAAAGACCCTTCTCCTCCCTGTAGCCTGCCTTCCTACCATCCTCTTGCTGCCGCCATATTCTACACCACTGAGAGGACTCGTAAAGGCTGCCGCCACCGCCATTTGCGTCTGGACTGGACTGTCCAATTTACGATGCATTAAATACAAATGTGTTGGCAGCAGGCAAGAGAGGTGGCAAGGGAAGAGAGTTCCTTCTCTTCCAGAAAAGTGCCCAACTCTATAGCCGATGCTGAATGAGCAACAACAAATTCTTGTACCCTAAAAATCATTAACGTTCATACAGTAACGAAATGCCACTCAAGATTCTCAACGAAGGAATGCCCACAAGAAACCAAGGGAATGCAAATACATAACCATTCAGCAGGATATGAAGAGCCCAAGATCTGCCAAAGAAACCCAATATCAAATTTTATTACAAAAAGTTAATTCATGGCAGCTAGAACACATCATGTATAAATTCCAGTACGGTGCAAGGGCCACTATATTTACAACCTCGGAGCAAAAAAAATAATAATAATCATCACAAAAAAAAGGGTTTAATCGATTTCAACAAAGAAAAGGACATTTATTTCTGTTTCCGGGAAAGAAAGTAAAATCCTAACTTCTGAACATTGTATTAGTCTCAATGAATGCAAATATCACAGATCAGTAAATTTCACAACTTCTCGAGACTCTGGTAGTTGAGAAACTCCACTGCCAGTCCTCATAAAAAGCTAAATAACTTCAGAATTAAATGCAACCGATGCAGAGTAAAGAAAACGCACCATTCGCAGCTCAATTATTTCAATAAGTCGGTCTAAATCCAGATTGGTCTCTGAAGACTCGTAAAGAAATAATAAAAAACAACCATAATACTAGTATCATCTCACACGCAATGCTGCAGAAACAATTATTCCTCATTCCACACCACCAGCTCCCCAAATCCAAAATCAACACATGTCACAACATATTTCATCCCAAAATCTTAAGAGAAATTACCACAAACACAATTCTGAGACTCGACGTGAAATTCCACCAAAACGACATTGATTAATCCAACGATGAATTAGCAACAAAAACAAAACAAATCAACGAACAGACAAACACACAGCGAAATCAGAAGGAGAAAACTCACACTCGAACTAGAGATCTGAGATGAGAAGCGCGAAAATCAAACAACGTAGCTCATATCAATGAATGCGTCATTCAACTGTGAGAATCTGCAGAGGTATAATAAGAAGAATCAAAATAAAGATCCTCGTAATGAGGCAAAGAACAGTTCCTTCTCCGTTCTCCATTCTCCGTTTCAGTTGCTGAAGCTCATTCCTTGCTGTATCTCCATCAATGGAGTCGCCTTCTTCACGGTTGTCTCTTTAACCTAAAGCGGAAAGCTAGGGTTAAATCACAAACTCTGGTTGGAAGCTTAGAACCAGAACTTTTCTCTCTGTTCGTATTTGTGCTTCGTGATTCGAAGGCTAGAGAACAAGCAAAAATGGAGCCGGTGGAGAAGAGCGCGAATCTGGGCCGTCTGATGACGCTGGCAAAGATGGACACGTGGCCTAGTGGTAATGGATGAGTTTAGTAGTGGGACCCAGTGGCGAATGGCTTGGAGTATGTTGGGTGTCAGCGAGCAGCACGGGAAATTTTTATCGTTCGATGAATCAGCTGAAAACACGTACTAATCATTTTAATTTTCTGGAGATTTTTTATTTTTTTATTTTTTTTTTATTTTTTGGTGGATTGTTTTACTTATTTGCCCCTGTCTTTCCCTGGATTTTACACCGCAAATCTAAATTGTTTCTCTTTTTTTTTTTCTTTTTTAATTTAAAAATATGTTTATATTATTCAATTTTCTTTTAATTAATAAATATATTAGGTATAAATAAAATAAGTTCATTTATTTTTTCAATTTTTTAATAAAGACTTATATTTATCAATTTTTAATTCTTAATCTAAGATTTGCTTGATTTGATTGTATAATTTAGATTTTATTTTCTTTTTTTATAACTGATTATCTCAAATTTAATTCATTTTGAAATAAATATCATTTAGAGGTTCAAAATAAGCCATTAAAAATAAAATATCAATGGTTTGAATAGTCTAAAATGCATTTATTGTTAGTTAAATATGCATAAATAAATAAAAAATTATTAAATTTATTTGAATGGTTTAGTCATTTATTTAATTTTTTAAAAAAATAAAATTTTTATTTATTTTCAAACAATTAATTAAGATTTAAAATTCAATTCCAATATATATATATATATATATATATATCTTCAATGGCTGAGTCAGAGTATGGCCGACCGTCCATTGAAAATGCCGACATGTTCTGATCACGTGCTGCCCATCCTTGTAACATGATCTTCTAATGTTAATATAAATAATATTTCTTCATTTTTTTTAAGTGATATATATATATATTTTAATTTAAATTAAAAATGGTAGAATATTTTTATTAATATGGTAAGAAGAAAATATGTGAACTGTGCGACACTGATGGACACGTCATTCCAATTCCGGTGGGTACGCGCACATGGGAGTTTTCCCGGAGGCTACGCCTCCGGTTCGTGACGGACGTGTCTTATGACGTGCGGCCACGTACGCTCATGAACGTGCATCATGTTTGGGACCCACTCTCACATTAGCCAATAGGATCATTACAGCTGGCAAATCGAAAATATATTTTATGGTATCTTTTCTTACTTAAAAATTATTATTTTTATTATTTAAAAAATTTTAATAAAAGATTATCTTCAAGTTAGTATGGGTTTTTTTTTTTTTTTTTAAATTATATATAACATTTAAATATTTTAAAGTATAAGCACTGAAATAAAATAATATTTTATTTTGTTTGATGAATGGAAGGATTAAATACGAGAACGTGGGCTTCCTGGATCCAAATGTCGGCCCAAATGATTGAATATCAATTTGGGCCGGCCCATATTAGAACTCAAAATGGATCGGCCTACAAAGAGAGAAATCACGAGCAAATCATGAGCTCAGCTGTATGGGATTCTTCCGACGGATGCATCTCACTGAAACTCGCTCGTGTTCGGCGGCAGGCAAATCCGGCGGTTTAAAGCGCCACAACGGCAGCTCCGTTCACCGATAACCGCCTCCAGGGGGCGGCAGCTCTGTTGATCGGTCATGGCTGTTTTGTCTTTCATTCGTTAACATCAAATCTCAGCCAAGTTCCACTACTTTCCCTTCGATTTCCTACTCTTTTTCATTGCTGGTCCTCAAATTACATCATCCTTCGATCTTGGTGCTTGGAAGGGTCTTCGAATTTGTACGATTCTGTGATTCTTCTGTTTTAGGAGCTGTACAGGGAGTTGAAGTCTCGGTACAGACGATTGGAGGTTTGGACTGTCCAATCTGAATAATATCTCAGTATGAGAACGGCGAAAAGCATCCAGGAAGACGAAGAGTACGAGGAGGACGAGCTGGTTGCTAAAAGAGAGGGGCCTGCTTCTACTTACAACGCAAACAGTAGCATCGGAAACAGCAAAGGTATCTTGTTTTAATCAATTTGAAATCTTCTGATTTTAGTGCCTGTTACTTAGAATGATGATAGCAGGGAAGCTTGTTTTCATTCAAGTTATTTATCTATTTTTTACTGTAATTGAACTTGGAACCAGATGGGAAGAACAATGATAAGGCTAATGCCATAAGGTCGAAGCACTCAGTCACGGAACAGCGCAGAAGAAGCAAGATTAATGAGAGGTAATCTCCGAACACAAGTGTTTCAAAATTGTGAAGGGAGATTATTTTGATCACAATTTTCTGGTCTATTTGTTCTATTGTTTGTGAATCATGAATATTGGAATTAAATTTGTGTCATAACTCTGTCTACATTAAATGTACAGCCCCCTGAACAATCTCTATCTCGTTTCAGATTCCAGATTTTGAGAGATCTTATACCTCACAGCGACCAAAAGAGAGATACCGTATCGTTCTTATTGGAGGTACGCAGTTGCTTATTGCAATCGAGATAATGTTGATGCTGTAAAGTGAATATTCTTCTTGTACTACTGTGTGATATCTGCTTGTCTTCCACTAACTAAACTTAATCTTTCCATGCAGGTGATTGAGTATGTACAGTATTTACAGGAAAAGGTGCAGAAATACGAGGGTTCATATCAGAATTGGAGTGGGGAACCTACTAAGTTGATACCATGGGTAAAGACCAAAGCTCTTCCTTTATTATATTTGGGAGTTATCATTCACTAACTTGCTCGCTTTAGCTGCTGCAATAGCAATAACAAAAATGAGAAAATATTCCCTTTTAATTGGCGACCGGGTTTATTTTGTAATAACATTGTATAAGATTAGCTGTGGAAAATATGCAAGCGTAAGAAATATTAGTTGTTGGTACAACATAGGCAATTTTTCAAGTGTTTAACAGCCATTCCCCCGAAACAATATCCGCGATACAAATGTTATATGATTCATAGTATAATTCGTTTAATCAAGAATCTTGTTCTGCTGAGGAAGTACTCTCAACTTTACCATGTCATGCAGAGAAATAGTCATTGGCGTATGCCGACTTTTGTTGCCCATCCCGAGTCTGTAAAAAATGGTTCTGCTTCAGGACCAATGTATTCGGGGAAGTTTGATGACAATATTTCAATTTCACCAGCCATGCTTGCGAGCTCACAGAATCCTCTCGAGTCCCACGCAGGCAGTGATATTCTACAGGATGCTGACATAACAAATAAAGTTCCACTTCCCATGTCTCTGGAAGGAAATACACATGCTTCTATCCATAGTGATGGTGTTCATGATCAATCTCTCCACGTTCCAATTTCTGATGCACAGACAACAGAGTGTCCCATCACCAACAATGCATCAAGCCAACTGGAGGAGATGAGTATTCAAGGGGGGACAATAAGCGTTTCGAGTCTTTATTCAGAAGGGTTAGTTGTAAGATATTTATACTGATTTTTTTTCCAAATATTTTGGTAGATATGTGAAGATTCCATGAGCAGAAGCTTTCATGTCTTTGGTGGAGGATACCCTTGAGATTTTCAGAACAAGATGAACTTCAAAGTTTATATGATATGTTTGTATCATTTGATTGTTGCTTCATCTATGTTTACATCTAAAGCCGTTACCTTTGATGAAGTTTCTTCTTCCTCTTTTATAAATGTAGTAATTATAATGATTTAACCTTTAGTAGAGCATGTTCAAACCTCCAGCATATAGGATGTCCGAATAGTTGCTTTTGGAGGCGTTCATTTGCTTGGTCTCTTCATAGGTTTTGGTAACAGCTCTGGAACTTGGTGCTGAGCAGGTTATTGAACAGCTTGACTCAAGCTCTGCAGAATACTGGACTGGATTTGTCACAGGCTAGTATCTCCGTTCAGATTGATCTGGGCAAGAGAGCAAATAAGAGAACGCCATGTGGAACCTCTATTTATAAGGTACGATGCTGAAATCTCGAATCTTGATCTTCTGGTGTTTTGATAAGGTCGTCTAGTTCTATATATCGTCTTTCCTGATATTTTCCTTGTAGTAGTAGAAGCGGCCATTATAGAGATCAGTTAAATTATACTTTTGATCTTTTGGTTGAATTATGTCTTAACGAGTTAAATTATACTTTGGTTGACTGATTTCCGTGTTCTTCCATTACACGAATTTCATAAAACTGGATATTCTCCATTCATTAAGAAGTTATTGGAAGTCATTAGTCATGCATCATCCCATTCACTGACTGGATTAAGCTCTTCAATATCTGACCAGGAAACTGGGAATCCTCCTTCCGGCCACCCATCAATGGCAAATGAAGGGGACCTGGACAGTGAAGACGACTCAGATCAAGTCAATAAGCGGCGTAGGACATGATTATATGGCGTCTCGAGTCTCGAGTTCTCCGTGCAGTTACCATTTTTAATGTGTCATATCTATTGTACAGATTTGCCTTTTATCTTCCTTGACCTTCTACAATTTCTTCAAACTCATATTGCTATGAGTATCAGTGTTTAAGCTTTAAAGAAGGGTTATTTTTTTTCCCAGCAGAATATATAACGATTGTCTCTACTGATTTCTCCCTTTTATAATCTAAATTTTACAGATTTAATTTACAAAGCCAATCTAATCTCAATTTTACATGCTTACAAGCAAAGATTGGACGATCTGATGCGATCAATTGTTCATTTCATGAATGGGTTTCTTTAACAATGTCTAATAAATTAGTGACAAAATTCAAGAACATTTCAAAACAGAAAGTATCGAGTGAAAACATATACACAAACCTCTAATTAGGGTTTGAAAATTGAAACTCAAAAGTATCGGTAAAATGATAGATCTGAGAGTCGAAAATTGTTTGGAGAAGTGAGACTTGTAGCCTGTTCTTAGCTAGAGGATTACCACATTGGTAGATTTGCAATTAGATATAGCATTTATAAATAGACTAGCAACATAATCAATCGCCGAGCTTGGTAATGTGAGCTTGTAACCCAAATGGGGGCAGTAAAGTGATTGGAGGTTAGTTCAGCCCACTAGGTAGTCTGGCCTGTCCATTCCAAGTAGGGAGTTAGGTCGTTGTCTTTGGGCGAAGGTCTAGAGGCAGTTGCCTTTAGAGATGGAGGAAACCGCGTGAGGCTGGCTTCACAGAGCAGCGTAACCTCCCTCTCCTGTCAGTGGAAGGATTGCGGGCCAGTTCTCCCTATCCCAATGGGTACTCCTCAGCCCTAACAACCACTTTTCTTTTCTTTTTTTTAATTAAAACTAACAAATATCTTGTAATAGCCTATAGGATATTAAAATACGAGATCTCTAAAATTGTTTAAAGAGGTTAGACTGATAGAGTCACTTGATAGATTTGTAATTACATCTACTCTTCATAAGTTAGCTTGCGACCGTATCTATCCATTGCCGAGCTTGGTAATGTGAGCTTGTAACCCTAATGGGGGCTCTAAAGTTGTTGAAAGCTGGCTTGGGCTGGAGTGGTTATTCGGCCTTTCCATTCCAAGTAGGGAGTCAGGCAATGGACTTTGGCACTAAAGACTACAAAATATTTTTTTTTAAGGAAAAAAAAGGCCCAGTGTTCACTGTCCTTAGAGCCATAGGAAACTGCGTGAGGCTGGTTTTACGGAGCAGCATTACCTACTTCTCCTGTCGATGGAAGGATAGCGGGCCTCGTTCTCCTAGTTCGGCTAGTTTTAGTGTAACATTTCTTTAAACAATTTCAATAAATAAGATATACGAGACAAAGTCGGAATAAATTTTTGAAATAATCTTAAATAATACATACTCGATGAACGTCTTTATTAATAGTGAACAATTTCCTCAAGAGAATGGGTTCTTATCAAATGAAAGAATTCGTCTCATATAAGAGTTTTTGATAAAAATTTAACTCTTGTGGAAGAGTTGTGATAATATCATTCTATGCAGAGAAACTATGTCATATCGTGTTCTTATACAAATCAAAGAACAATATGAATGGTGCAGAAACAAGAAACAAACAGAGAGAGAGAGAGAGAGAGAGATGAGTATTACTAACACCTTAAATTTCACATAATAGCAAAGAAATAATGCATCTTCTACTTACATGTGTGAACAGAATCTACCTCTACTGATAGCAAAGAAATAATGCATCTTCTACTTACATGTGTGAACAGAATCTACCTCTACTGATAGCAAAGAAAGCACTCAGAATCTGCAGCATAGAAGGCCCTCCCTCCATCCTCTGTACTTCCGGTAATGCCTCCGTTCAGCTTTTACCATTTTAACCGGGCTGCTATTCCATTCAGATTGTAATCTGTAAATATCATTCACCTTGGATTACAATTTAGAACAGGATAGATCAAGAAGAGAAGAGAGATTGCTTGCTACTTACATAGGGAAGGCAAAAGAGCGCGTGCTTGTCGTGCTACTTTCCGATCGAAGAGAGATGCTTCCAGAATAAGCTATTGGCCCCGAGTAAGTAACAAGGCTAGCTAATGGATCTAGAGCAGAGAAACTAGACTCGCCACAGTCGTGTGCAGTCTGGCTTGAAATTAATCGACTCGTCGAAACTTGGGTTCCAAATGCAGAATCGTTACTTCCATAACACTCCTGTGTCCCAGCACTACTGGTCATGGGTCCTGGGAAGTCTAATTTGATATTTCCATGGTGTTCTTCCTCACCATTGGCCATGGGAGAGATTGAATTGAGATTCAATGTAGTACTTCCCTTCTCAAATTCATTATTACGAGCTGAAGGGTGTTGTGTTGGAATGTTTTCATTTGTTGATTCTGCCTCAGTTCCCAGAGCAGAATTGTCATTGCAAGATTCAACAGATTTGAAAGCTGAAGCAGGGTCTTCCGAGTTGGCTTTTTCACTAGATATCTGCCATTACAAGAAATCCAACCTACATCAACCAATTCTGAAAAAACATCAAACCTGAAAAGTTCAGAATCACTTGAGCTATAAGGGCTTCAATATTCTATCCTAATTATATATTTCAACCTGTTCCAGAGAGTACACACTTGAAAACTATAAGGATGGAAATAGAACATGAAGTGCAAGAGTAACATGTGTTACAGTTCAAGCCCATGCTCACTAGTAGATATTGTTCTTTTTGGGCTTTCCCTTACAGGATTTTCCTCAAAGTTATTAAAATGTGTCTGTTAGAGAGAGGTTTCCACACCCTTATAAAGAGTGTTTCGTTCTCCTCTCCAACTGATGTGGGATCTCACAATTCACCCCCTTTGGGACCCAGCATTCTCGCTAGCACACCGCTCGGTGTCTGGCTCTGATACCATTTGTAACAGACCAAGCCTACCGTTAGCCGATATTGTCTTCTTTGGGCTTTCTCTTTCTGAATTTCCCTCGAAGTTTTTAAAATGCGTCTGCTAGGGAGAGATTTCCACACATTTATAAAGAGTGTTTCGTTCTCCTCTCCAATCGATGTGGGATCTTACAACATGATTAATAACTTGACCAGAAATATGCATACCTGGATACCTAGGTTGTCTAAAGACTCGGAAGAGTGACTTTCCCTAACTAGCTTTTGCACCAGAACTTGTGGTTCACTTTGATTGAGTTTTGCTTCCTCTATCTGATTCAGATCCTTAGCATCATTATGAGTACTCCAGTCCGAGGCAAAGTGATCTTCTAAAGAGATTTTTTTATTATCTGCAATGGACTCCAACACCTCAGAAGAATTCTTTTGTTCTTTTACAGAACCTTCATTTTGGTTCAAAGGCAGGGTTTTGTAGCTTGACTTCTCATCCGTACTCCTGAAGATGAAGTTGACCAAAGAAGGTACCCCTTCATCAATACAGATGTCCTTCACATCATTGACATTAATTTCCTTGTCACATACTATCATTTTCGACATTTGACATTCCATGACACTTTTGTCCACATACGAGTCTGAGGATTTCTTACCGGATGATGACATAAATGCATTAATACCTTCAGCATTATCATCAAAACAATCTACAGACGAGTGGTTAATTTTAGTGGTCAGGCAACTATTCCCACCACCAGTTGAAGATGGAGATTGAATGGCATCCTCATGGTTTATCTTTTCTCGACACAAGAGACCAATTGGATCGATACTAATGATCTGGTGTTGCAACTCAGTATTGTAATTGCCTTCAATAGATTCTGGAACACAATTTGAGCTGGTCATTGAAGAGTAAAATGGAGGGTCACTTTCTGCAGATACATAATTACAAATGTAACTTAGAACAGCAAGTTGGACAAAAAGCAGTAGATTGACGAGCGTAAATAGCACGAAAACGATAGTAAATAAACTTTCCTTTACAAAACAACATAAGATCATTGGGTAGAAAAGCAAAGAGGGAAAAATAACAGTAATAAAAATGAAGAGCTTTCAAGTAGAATACAAGACAAAAGAAATTGTTGTTACCCAGTTTCATTGTTAATACACGCCATGGAGGCAAAATGATCTTCAAAAGAATCAAACTTCAGGAAAGATAGGGTCTATCCCTAAGCAAACCTACCTGCCATAAAACATCAATGAATTAAAACAGAAATTCTACAACTCTGTAAACTTCTGTGAATGAGAGAACGAAGAAAAAGGATGAGCTTAAAGAAAGAGACAAATATAGATTTTGTAGTCCACCGTAGTATGAGCAATCAAACATAACAACTTCATAGCCAGCTTGATACTTAAACAAAGTGAAGAACAGTAGATATTCAAAAGTAATGAATCGTCATCTGTGACTGTAACCCATTGAAACTCCTAAATATTCTCCTCAGAAATTGTAATATCTGAATTATTCTGAAGCAGAACAGGCAAATCTATTTGAATGATAATAAAGAGAAAAAGGCGAGTACAAACTGGCAAAAGCCAACTATTCCAACAGTTAGGGATACAATGAACAACATGTCAGCTCCTAGGTGATTGACTAGGAGCCGGGGTCCGGCCCCTCCAGAATCACTCATTTAAGAACCATATAGAATCAGCAGATCAATATTCGTATTTTTCTATAAAAGTAGCGAGTTTTGTATGAAAACTTAACTAAATCTCAACAAAGAAAGTTTAACCAATCAAATCAACAACAATCAGAAATATTAAGACCAAATTGATCATCCTGTAAAGAGCACATAAAGGTCATTATTACAGTCGTTATCATAGGATATCTTGCTTTAAAACATAATTAAAGAAAATTCTCTGGGCTATACGTGCTGGGAATCCAAAGCTTGTTACCAGTACTCAAAAATATAAAAGAGAAAAGAACGAGTGGTAAAAAAGTTGGAAGAACTTTTGAAAAGCAAACAAAACTTTCAACAGAAACATCATAACTCAAAATGATTAACAAAAGAAAAAGTGTATGAAATCACCCTTTATCAAAATTCCCCCACCCATTCTCCTTTATCTTCAACTAATGATGAAATCAACCCCAACCCTCAACCTCCACTTCAGTCTCAAGGGGGGGAAAAAGAAAAGTAAATGAACAGAAAGAATTCAAAACATCAGATAACAGGAAAAAAGGAATATATTCAGACAGAAAAGTGAAAAGAATTCAAACAACAATAGAATATAGGGTTAAACGAGAAATTACGAAGAACAAAAGTATCAA